CCATAAAGTTCATATGCAATTGCGCCTGGTATATAATTGGGATCCCCAAATAAGATGACCAAAATAATAGAACCCAGCTACTTGGGAAAGCTGAGGCAAGAGAATAATCACTTAAGCCCAAGAGGTAGAGGTGGCTGTGAACTGTGACACTACAGCACTCTACAGAGGACAACATAGTGAGACTGTCTTAAAAATAAAATAAACAAATAAGTCTTCTTTGGTTTCCACTGCTCTTAAAAATAAAGACCCAGGCAGGCACAGTGGCATGTGCCCGCAATCCTAGCATTTGGGGGGCTAAGGCAGGAGGATCTTTGAAGCCTGCCATTCAAGCCTGTAATGAGTTATGATCATATCACTGCATTGAGTGATTGAGCAAGACCTCTCTCTCTTTTTTTTTTTTGGCTGGGGCTAGGCTTGAACCCACCACCTCCAGCATATGGGGCCGGCGCCCTACTCCTTTGAGCCACAGGCACCGCTCGACACTGTCTCTTAAAAAAAAAGACTCAAGCTTCTCAGAGGCCTATTCCTGCTGTGTGTGCCGCGGCCTCTGCCTGCCTATCTGACCTCACTTCTCACGGGTCTCTGCTCCAGCCACACTGTCTCCCTTAGCCTTCCATACTTGACCGGTGTCTCCAACCACAGGGTCTTTGCACATGTGAATTCCTCTGCCTGGAATGTGCCTCCCCTTTTCACCTTGTCATCTATCTTCTTCATTTTATTTTTTTAGAGATGGTGTCATGCTCTGTCACCCAGGCTGGAGTGCAGTGGTGCAATCACAGCTCACTGCAGCCTTGAACTCCCAGCCTTAAGCAATCCTCCTGCCTCAGCTTCCTGACTACAAGTGTGCATCATCACACTTGGTCCATCTATCTTCTTTTGTTCCTTCAGTCCTCACCCACAGCATCCCAGCTCATGGGCTTCCAGACCCTTCTCTGTAGTGCCACGTCCACTTATTTTTGTGACTGAGGCTGATGTCCCCCACCAGACCGCAAACCCACAGGGGCATAGACTGGGCAGGTTCCTGCTCACACCAGGACCTCTCTGCTTGGCAGGCCACATGCTCCACTGCATGTACCTAGGTGGTGGAACAAAACCCTTAAGCAAGTCTGTCCTGGGGGGCGGGGGGCGGTGAGATAGGAGGACCATGTAACAAGCTTACCGCCTCAACATCTCCCCAGGGGGTTAGTGTTCTGGGGAAAACCTATTTTTAAAATCAGGGAAGTCTTTAAATAAGCGTAAAGTCTTTTCCTTCTCTAGGGTGGGGAGGAAGTTTGAGGTTCATGAAAACAACCACTGTGACAGCTGACTAGCTCCGGCAGGAGGGGATGCTTGCAGGCTGAGGAGCCCCTCTGCTGGCCCTGGTCTCCCCAAAGCCATGCCCCCCAACTTTCTTTCCTCTTCTTGTTGGGTCAGGAACCTCCTGACTTGATAGACAAGTCTACCCCATGGCAAGATGATCATGAGACTGCGTGGGAAATAGTTATTTATAGGAATGGAGGGCATAGTCAATTTAACTATCCCCAGAGCACCTGCTCCTTGCCTGAGCTCTGTGCAAAGCCCTTCCTAACACTTTGCAACAACTCTATCAGGTGGGGATGTAATTGTCTCAATTTATAGATGGGGAAACTGGGAATAGAGAGGCCAGGGACTTGCCCCAGGTCACACAGTCACTGAGAATACACCTAGGATTCTAACCCAGGTTGCTGGTGATTTGCCCCCTCCTCCCTGTGGACCCCTCATGAACACAGCCCAGCCCTACACCTGGACCATGCCTGGGAAAGCCCCATGCTAGGGGGGAGTTTGAGACAGGGCTTCTCAGTAAGAAATCATATGTTTTATACCTTGCCTCTTACTATACACTGATATACAGATTTTATAACTGTCAGTAAAGTGTGTGTGGAACACTTATATTTTCCATTTTATCCTATTTCATTTCTTAAAAGGTTGAATTCAGCCAGGCATGCCTGAAATCCTAGCACTCTAGGAGGCCAAGGCAGAAGGATTGCTTGAGCTCAGGAGCTTGAGACCAGCTTGAATGAAACCCCATCTCAACAACAACAACAAAGGCTGAATGTAGCCCATTAAATGGATTTTAGGGGCCTGGTTGTGGTGGCTCATGAATGCCTGTAGTCCCAGAACTTTAGGAGGCTAAGGTGCTAGGACCACTTGAGGTCGGGAATGTGGGGTCAGCCTGGGCAACCTAGCACAACCCCATCTCTACTAAAAATTTTTAAAGACCGGCTACGTGGCTGGGTGCGGTAGCACACACTTGTAATCTTAGCACTCTGGGAGGCTGAGGTCAGTGGATTGCTTGAGCTCAGGAGTTCGAGACCAGACTGTGCAAGAGCAAGACCTCATCTCTAAAAAAAAAAATAGCTGGGCATTGTGGTGGTGACTATAGTCCCAGCTACTCAGGAGGCTGAGGCAATAAGATAGCTTAAGCCTAAGAGTCTGAGGTTGCTATGAGCTATGACACAAAGGTACTTTATCCAGGGCAACAAAGAAAGACTCTGCCTCAAAAAATAATACCAACAATAAAATAAATTTTAAAATTAGCTAGACATGATGGTACATACTTGTAGTCCCCACTACTTGGGAGGCTGAGGCAGGAGGATGGCTTGAGTCCAGGAGTTTGAAGTTGCAGTGATGACACTGCAGCACTCTAGCTGGGGCAACAGAGAAAGATTCTATCTCAAAAGCAAAACAAAACCCTCTACATAGATTTCAGGATCCACCGATGAGTTTGAAAGACACAGGTTGAGGCGGGGGGTGCTATTTATCTGAGAATAAATAGCCTGTCAGAGAGGTGAGTCTGGTAAAAAGTCATATCATCTAGGAGCATAAGTTATGGTATTTGTTTTACAAAAGCACAGAAAGGAAAAAATATAGTTAGGAATTAAGTGCTATCATCACTGTGACTTGGTCACTTGGGCCAATGACTAGTGATGCATCAGCTACAGAAATGCCAGAGAGGGAGGAGGTGGTGCCCAGCCTAGCTGACCAGACTCTTGGCCCTGCCACACTTTGGAATCACCTGGAAGCTCTAAAACACCCTGAACCCTAGGACCCAGGCTTGGAGACTGATTTGATAGGTTTGGGTGTGGCCGGCCAAGGGGGAGAAGCAGCATTGGAAATGAACCCCAGCTTCTCCTGGAGCCTCTGCCCACCTTCTGAGAAATGAGCCAAAAGGCTACAAGGATTCTAGGCGCAGCTGTCTCCCAAGGTCCCCAGATGTGGCAGATGATGTGCAATCATCTGCACAGAGGAATCGAATAAGGTCAGCTTATCCTCCCAAGCTGTCCCTACACCTCCCCAGCTTCACTCAAGCTCCCAAGTTCATTTGCCCACCCCCTCCCACTTTCATCTGCTCTGATTCACTGCAGAACAGACTTTTAGCCTAGATCTCTTTTAGTGTTAACCATGTGAAAACATGAGCAACCCCCCCCAAACAAACAAACAAAAAAAAACCAGAAATAAAATACCCATCATCTAGCTGCTTCTTTCTTTCTATTCCATTTCTTTTACAATTGTAAGCACAGATTGCAGACAACTTTGCAACTTATTTCCCCCTTTAGTTACATGCAAACTTAAAGCCTTTTCAATGGGCAAAAAACTTACCAGAGAGTCTTACTGTATTATTTTTTTTTTACTGTTTCTAACTTTCAGCCCCTTTATTGCCAATTCCAAGACCACATTTTCTCACATTTTAACATTTCTGAAATCTGGATGATCCATTTCTGCGTTTCGTCACCTTATGTCACGGTCAATGGCAGCACTGACATTTCTTTCCCCATAGCACATAAAATAATGGTGCATCTACACCATTAGTTTAGGTGCCTAAGGTGCCAAGAAACACAGTGCCATAAGTTGTACTTTTTCATTTTTGTGGATTATTTCCTTTACCATTAGTGAGATGACCAGCCTTGAATATGAACAGTTTCATGATTCTTGACACACTACCAGTTTTTTTCCCAAAAAGTTGTATGGATTCCAGTTCCTCCTGATATGGTCAAGTGAGTTGGTCTCACCACAGTCTAATCACCATAGAGCATTTCCACATGCTTTTTTGGTTCACCAAATTTAATAGGGAACTAAAATGAAGGTAAAGTATACATTGCTTCTACTCATCTTTCTTTGGTACTAACTTTCTACCAATAATACCTGGAATTCATGCGGCCTTAAATCTTCTGGTTATAAGGCCATCAACTTGACAAAGTATAAGATCATCACTCTGAGGTCCTGGAAGCCGTTACATTTGCTGCTTGGTTTTTGCCCCACTCACCCTGCAGCTCCCCTGAGCTTCCAGTACTTCCCTTGATAGCTCCACTGGGCCAGGCCCCAGAACAGCTGAAATGGAACTCAACATTTCCTCTCCATCATGCCCCAATCTTCACAATCAATGTTCCCCCAAACCCAAGAAACCCGTACCACAGATATCAAGGACAGAGTTCACTGGTCCTACTCAGGATGGCCATATGATATAGGAGGCAAAGCATTTGATTTGGAGTCAGGACAGGTTGAAATTCCATTTCTGCCACCTTCTAGCTGTGTGAATTTCAGCAGGTGGCTTCACTTCTCTGTGTCCAAGTTTCATTAACTGCAAAATGGGAAATAAGGAGAAGCCCTGTATGGACTAGTATCTGCCTAATGTTGTGAGACCACTGTCTCATCAAATCCCACTGACAATCTGTCAGAAGTGGAGGTGGTATGTATATAACCTTTTTACCATTTTCCAGATGAGGAAACTAGGCACAGGGAGGTGAAGGGCCTGGCCTAACGATACAGTCATTAAAATGCAGAACTGGGATTCGAACTGCCTGATTTAGGTTATCGGGCTACCCTGAGGTTTTTGTGAAGTCCTTCTATAGTTTTTCATCTTTGTGACTTTTAATACTTAGATTTGGTGGAAACACCCTGACTAGGGGTTCTGACACACTAGACAGAATTATCTTCAAGGCTGGGAGGTCTCTGAATGCTACTGGACCAGCAGAATCAATTACCTTTTCATCCCGGGTGGACATTTTCCTTTGGTTTCTGGATCTGAAAAATAAGAAAACATTCATCCAGATTTGCCATTCACATACCATTTGCCTTAGTATGTGCTTTGTTTGTTAGTATGTGCTAAGTTAGTTTTAATAGTGTCTGAGGATAGCATTAAGCTCAAAATGTATGTAGAAGAACATACTTCCTGGGTATTATCCCCCAAAGAACTGAAACAGGCACTCAAACAGACACTCGTACGTGAACGTTCATAGCAGCATTATCCACAACAGCCAAAAGGTGGAAACAACCCAAGTGTCCATCAATGGATGACGGAAAAGCAAAATGGGTATGTCTACAAGATGGAATGTTATTCAGCCATACACAGAAATGAAGTACTGAATCGTGCTACAACATGGACAAACCTCTAAAAACTATCCTTAGAGAAAGCAGCCAACACAAGATGTCACACAGTACAGTATGATTCCATTGATATGAAATACCCAGAACAGGTAAATTCAGAGACAGAATGCAGACTGGTGGTTGCCCAGAAGTGGGAGAAAGGACAAATGCAGAGCTGCTGTTTGATGGATACAGGGTTGCCTTTTGGGGTGATGAAAAGATTCTAGAACTAGATAAGAGGTATTGGCTGTACATAAATGTCACTGAATGATTCATTTTAAAACAGCAAATTTTATGTTATGTGAATTTCATTCTAATTTAAAAAGACAGACACTACAGAAGTGGAGTTGCTCTGAAAAGCAGCCAACAATTTAAGTGTCCACCACCAGCTGTCTGGTTAAGTCAGTTAACGTACCTCTGAGCAGTGGAGCTGCCAGCTCGTGCACCTTTGTAGGGATGTAGAAAGACATGAGTCACATAGTGAGCCAAGGCACCACATTGCTGCCTAGTTTGTGTAGGATGACCCCAGCTATGTGGGGGAAAATACATATGCTTTTTTTTTTTTGGCCTACAAGAATACAGACAAACTCTTCATAGTGGGTTAATTCTGGAAGAAAGCGGGGAGTGCTCTGGCTGTGAGAGTTGAGTGGGTATTTTCCTTCTCTGCTTCTAGGAGAGCTGAGCTTTTACAATGACTATGTGTTACTTTTGAAGATTATTTTTAACATAGGTGGCATATACATGTAGTAAAAAATTTAAATAATACAAAAAGATATACTATGATAAGTCTCCCTTCCAATCCTGTTCCCCTTTCCTGAAGCAGCCACTCTCACCAGTTCTCTATATAGCCTTCTAGGGTATTCTATGCCTTTACACATACATCATGTTTCCCCACCCCACCCCCCTTTTTTCCTTATACAAATGTGAACCCACACACTGCTGTGAACCTTATTTCCCTTTAGGGAGTAGTAGGCGGAATATGGTGCATCCCCCCAAACACACACAGGTCCTAATCCTTGGAATATGTATGTTACTTTATGTAGCAAAAAGGACTTTGCAGATGTGATTAAATTAAGGACCTGGAGATGGCGGATTGTCCTGAATTATCCAGGTGGGTCTATGTAATTAGAAGAGTCTTTATAAGTGAGGTTGGAGGATCAAGAAATGTGAGGCTAGAAGCAGAGACTGGAGTCTGAGAGAGATCTGAAGATGTCATGCTGCTGGCTTTGAAGACAGAGGAAGAAGCCACAGTCCTAGGGATGTGGGCACCTCCAGAATGAGTAAAGTCAAGCTGACATTCTCCCCCACAGTCCCCGGAAGCAATGCAGCCCTGCCAACACCTTGATTTGGGACTATGAGACTAATTTTGGACTTCTGACTCCCAGAGCTATAAGATAATAAATGTGTGTGTTGCCTCAGCTTCCCAAGTAGCTGGGACTACAGGCACCCGCAACACTGCTGGGCTATTTTTTGATGCAGTTGTCATTGTTGTTTGGCAGGCCCGGGCTGGATTCGAACCTGTCAGCTCTGCTGAGCTACAGGTACTGAGCCTACAATTATTTTCTTAAAAAGTAAATGCTCCGGCTCGGCACCTATAGCTCAACCGGCTAAGGCGCCAGCCACGTACACCTAAGGTGGCGGGTTCGAATCCCCAGCCGGG